CCAATTAAAAAATGGGCACAGGAACTAAATAGACACCTCTCCAAACAGGACATACAAATGGCTAAGAAACATATGAAGAAATGCTCAACATCACTAATCATCAGAGAGTTGCAAATTAAAACAACAACGAGGTATCACCTCACACCTGTCAGAATGGCTGCCATCAACAAATCATCAAACAACAAGTGTTGGTGAGGGTGTGGAGAAAAGGGGACTGTAGTGCACTGTTGGTGGGAATACAGACTGGTGCAGCCACTATGGAAAACAATATGGTGTTACCTCAAAAAATTAAAAATTGAACTTCCATTTGACCCAGTGATCCCACTTCTAGAAATATACCCTAAGAAGCCTAAAACACCAATCAGAAAAAATATATGTACCCCCATGTTTGTAGCAGCACTATTTACAATCGCTAAGATCTGGAAACAGCCCAAGTGTCCATCAGTAGACGAATGGATAAAAAAGCTGTGGTACATATACACAATGGAGTACTACACAGCTGTACGAAAGAAAGATCTCTTATCCTTTGAGACTACATGGAGGGACCTTGAAAGTATCATCCTAAGTGAAACAAGCCAAACAGAGAAAGACAAGTTTCATATAATCTCACTTATTTGTGGAATATAATGAACATAACAGTCTGAGGTATGGGGTTGTCCCAGAGATGCGGAAATGGGGTACAGACTGATAATCCCCTAAAGAGGGGAGTGGTGGGGGAGAGATAAACCACAGAACTTATATGCATGTATGCATGAACAGTGGACATGGACAACCAACTGGGGAAAGGGTATCGAGGGAGGGGGAGGGGGGAATCAGTGAGGGGAAAAGGAGAAACATCTGTAACAATAATTAATTTAAAAAATTAAAATAAATTAAAATAAATAAATAAATGTCTTACACAAGATTTAAAACAAAAACAAAAACAAAACAAACAAACAAACAAAAACTAAGTCACAACCACCCACATTAGGCCTACCCCAGGTATGGACCCAGATATCTGTCTTCCACTCCACATCTGGTCCCACTGGAAGGTCTTCAGGGACAGTAACAAGATGGAGCTGTCATCTGCTGTGATAACAATGCCCTTTTCTGGAAAACCTCCCGCAGGATCTGCCTGAGGCTCTTCTTGAGAAATATTTCAGAAATATGTCCATGCTGGTTTGCTTGGTTTGTTTCTTTTTTGGATAATAGATTTGCCTATAAACAGATAATGCATCATGAACATTCCTCTCTATTAATAAAAGCTTTTTGGTATTGGGGGTCTATGTTTTTAGGAGCATGTTGAGGTCTGCAAAAGCTTCTGCTAAAACCTTCACTGTGGATTTTCTGGGGGGTTCTTCTTTTTCCTCTCCTGCAGTTTCCTTTTCTCTGGCCTCTTCTTCACCTGTGCCTTCCAGTTCCAGTCCCAGCAACTCTTCATTAGTGAGTTCCTCAGGATCCAGCTCTAGAAGCTCCGCGGTGTCATCCTCATCCACACCTGGGTTAAGACCATTTGCCATCTCAACCACAGCCTTATTGATTTTTGCAACCTCCTCATCCTTGATAAATACTTTGAAGTTATGGATGAATCTCTTGAGCATTTTCTTCTAAGTGCCATTCATACCGTCCTTGGTAACATCACCCCAAGTTCCAGCAAGGGTCGTGATGCAGTCATGGACGCTGTAATCCCTCCAGAACTGCATCAGTGTCTTCTCAGTTACAGCAATAGCCTGCGCAAAGGTTCTCCTCAGGTACTAGGCCTTAAAAGCTGCTTTAACTCCTTGATCCATTGGTTGCATCAAAAAGAGGATTTCAGAGTGAGAAACACCACTTGGATATTGGGATGAAGGTTACCAATAAAAGGAGGATGTCCAGGAACATTATCAACAATAAGCAAAATAATGAAAAATATATTCTTCTTTACACAATTCTTCTCCATTTTGCTGGTGTAGCAATTCGGGAGGGCCTCTCGGAAGAGCAGCCGGGTCTTCCTGACTTCTAGCTGCTCCTGTGGTACACTGGCCGCGTCTGCTTATCATATGCCCGAAGGCCTCTGTGCCAGATCAAAGGGGTTTCAGTTTATAGCTGCCCCCAAGCAAGACTATTATCCTGTCCTTAAAAGCCTCGAAATTTGGCATTGACTTGGCCTCCTTATGAATGAAAGTCCTTTCAGGCATTTTCTCCCAGAATAAAGTAGTTTAATCCATGTTGAATATTTGCTCTGGCAGGTAATTTTCCTCCCCAATCTGCTTATCTAGAGTTTCAAAAAATTTTCAGCTGCCTTCACATCAGCACTTGCAGAATCACCATTCACATCCACATTATGTAATGGATAACAATACTTAAATCTAATCAAACCTAGAACTAGCAGTAAATTCATATCATAGCTGGGACCAGCCTTTTCTTTCGTCACAGAAAAATCTTTTGCTGTGGCTGTGATCCTCTTGGTGCTGAGAAGGATACACTTCTGTGTATGCTCATTAATCCAGGTCATTAGCAGTTTCTTCACATCTAATGTGGGCCCTTCTGCAAATTGCATTAGTTCTGTTGCCTTTGCTCTTGCTCTTCAAGGGTGTAGTGATGGTGGGACGGGACATGCCTGGCTGGAGAGCTGTCACCATCCCTGATTTTCTACCTTCGTAGTCTTTAATCGTTTTTAGTTTTGTTTCCAGATCAGTCACTGGCAACATTAACAGTGGATTTGTATGCTTAGGGGCCATGATGAATAAAACAACACAAGATTAAATAATTCACAAGAGAAAACAATGCAGTCGAGAGATGCAGTAAACACACAATGTACCGGGCTGCTGCTGGCATAACACTGTTTTACAACAGACTTTTTTAAAGTAGGTAGAGCAAGTACATTATAAAATGATGATAAACAGTACAGTACAGTGAATACATACACCAATGTCACAGTCGTTTGCTATCATTATCAAGGATGTGCTGTAATTTTATGTGACCGGCTGTGTAGGTTTGTTGACACCAGCGGCACCACAAACACGTGAGTAATGTGTAGTGCTGGGACATCATAATGACATAACGATTACACTGTCACTAAGGGATAGGTTTTTTTCACCGTTATAATCTTACGGGACCACCATTGTATGAGTGGTCCATCGTCGACCCAAATGTCATCAGGTGGCATGTGACTGTATTATTACCACCAAACTTGCTTCCCGGAGTTTTATCACCCCTGGGAACTCAGAGCATACCCAACTCCAAATTCTTCTTTGTAATTGTTTTAATGAAATGTTGGTTCTAGGTTTGCCTAAGACATCACTTGTCTTTTGGGGTAGCAAATATATACGTCACAGGCAATCTTCTTCAGTCTAGTTCAAGACACATACTCAACACATCTGTCCTATTTGCTAGCACTGTGTTAGGTGTAGGGCACAAAGATGTACAGAAGACAGTCCTTGCCCTCAAGGAATTTACAGTGTAGTAGAAAAGCTTCATACACAGATATTTTAATGTAATAGATAAGTCTAGAGGAGAGAGGCACAGAGCACCCCAGGACCACAGAAGAGATGGCCAGCCCTGCCGGGAGCTTCAGAGAAGTCCTCTTGGAAGAGAGAAAGCCTACACTGAGGCCTGAAGAATAAGAAAGAGCCACGTGAAGAAAATGGTGGAAAAATGGTTTCAGCAAAGTGGAAGCACCAGCCACAGTCCAGGGCAGTCCAACAGAACATGGACCTGCAGAACCACACCCAATTCAGTGCACGAGGCTAAGGGCACATGGATAGGCAGCAGATGGGGAGGAGGCTGGGGCCAGGGCCAGAGAACTCAGCAATTCCATCCTATGTATGTCTCTCTTTTGAAAAGAAAACGCCCAGTAACATTATTTTATACACACAATGGCAACATAGAGATGAGCCACAGGTATTAACACTCTCCCTCATACCCAGGCAACAGACAAAGAGGTTGTATGAGTCGTTCCCGACCCAAAGCATAAAAATATCGGTGCTTTCAGTCCATGATACCGTGTACCTTAATACTTCAGGTACTTCTTGAATTTGCTGTATAATGCGCAATTTTTAAAATATGCAGTTCTCACCTGAAACTAAAATATATGGCTGAGCCGCCATGCTGAAGGCTCAGGTTTATCAGTTTATTATTTCAGTGCATTAAAAGTGCCATGAACTCACTCTCAGATTAGAGTGGACTTCTGTGGTGCTCAGAACTGAATTTTGTGGCTCAGTGTGACTCTAAGGAAAGCTATGTTGCAATGAAAGAAAGTCATCTTCCAACATTTTCAATCTGTTTTTGCTTTGCTGTCAACCAGTTTTTAAGGGAAAGGCTTTGATAAACAGGAATAAACAATGAAATGCCCTAAGGGTATAGAATATTAAAGGACGTCTTTTAAAAAATCTAAATGAAAAAAAGATTATAAAAGTAATACAAGGCTTGGTATAAAAGGAGATATTAAAACCACACAGATTTTCTGGGTCAAGAAATATGTAATGTTTTATTTTGAAATAAATAAAATGATGACAAACTGCCATTCACAAAGGATTCTCTTATTGGTTCTCCTATTAACAGTATATGAAAATGCCCATTTCTTATTATGCTAAGTGAAATAAGCCAGTCAGAGAAAGACAAGTATTACACATGGAATGTGATGAACAAAAGAGATCCGGTGACATGGAAGCAGGGAACAGGCTGCAGAATCTCAGAGGGAAGGGGAGAGGGGGTGGGAAGAGATGAGCCAAAGAACTGACGTGCATATAAGCACTATCCATGGACACAGACAATAGTGCAGTGAAGGCCTGGGGCTGTGGGGTGGGGGGTGGGGGGTCAATGAGGGAAAAGGGAGATAGCTGTAATACTTGCAACAATAAGATAAACAAAAAAACTGAAAATGCCCATTTATTTAAGCCAGGGCAAACATCAGCTACCGTGAATCTTTTAAAATCAAATAGATCTGCCCTGGCCTTTGCGAGTCCCCCCCCCCCCCCTTTTCTTAAACATTTACATGAAAAGATTAATTCTCTCACTACTCAGAACTAGTGCTTCATTACCTGTTTTATACGAGGTGGTTCCTTCTTGCCCACATCAATACGGGGCAAATCAGAGATTCCGAACTTTTCTTTGTAGTACCGTCGAGTAAATGGATCACAGTCATAAATGAAGAAGGTTCTCCCAAGGATAGTGAGTGGCTTCCCAACGATGAAGTCTTTGGCAGTATACCATTCCGACACCTCTTGATCGGAGATTTCCAGCACACACTGAGGGAAGTTCTCTAATACAGGCAGCAGGGAGAGAGGGCAGAAGGAACAATGAGGCTGGGACACACCACAGCAGGGCATTCTTGAGGACCTTCGCTCCGGTCAAAGGTCAGGGCCCCCTCTACATTCCCAGAAGAACACAAGGCTGTGTAGTTCCATCTGTGACAGGACACATAAATATCATCCCAGAGGGCTTCTGTAAAATTCCTCTCCGATGTTCAGCTCCAATGGTCACTACAGATCACTAATCCTAGCAGAATAAATATTCAGAAGAAATCATCACTGGGGGAAAGAATAAATGTCCTTGTATAGAGTATTAGATCTAGGAGGAATCCAAGTCATTTGGTTCAATCTCCCATCCATTTATTCCTTCATCCAAAAAACTATTAGTGAACACACATATCATGTACTAGGTACACTACTAAATACTGAGATTGTAACAATTAACAATATAAATAACACTCCTGCCTTGATGAAGAAAACATTCTGTTGGGGGTAACAGATATTAACAATTACACAAATAATGGCTTCATCTCCATTCGATCACTGCTATCAGGAGTCTGACCTGGCAGGAGGCCAGGATAGTCAGCAAAATGATCACAGTAATCCCTACATCTGGGGAATGAATCAACACATTTTTTAAAATGTAAAATCAACCCTGTATTTTTAGAATAAATCACATTTTGTTGAACCAAGTGTTAGAAACCATAAGATAGTCAATTCTGGTAATGTGCCACGTGGTATAGCTTTAGCCACAAAGCTTGGCCTCAAACTCTGGTCTCAGGGGGCATGAGATGTAGGCTGGTACTCTCCAGTTAATTGCTAAGATGGGAAACAGAAAAGGAGTCTAAGGTTCTGCTATATCACACAGAAAGGTATGAACTCCAGCTCTCCATCATGCTAAAGAGGGGCTGGTATTCTCTCAGACATGCATCTTGAAGGCCCCTCCTCCCAGTGTCTGGTGCCTAACCCTACTAGGTCCCTGTGAGCTACCCCACCAAGTGATGGGCAACAGGGGACACAGCTCATAACCCCCTGACTTTCTCTCAGTAAAAAATGTTCCAAGAGATCTGGGGTGTGTGTGGTCCAGCCATTTGTCTCGGTTTGCTCAACAATTACCTTTTTCACCTAATGGTGGACTTCACTTACCAATATGACGTTTAGGATATTGCATGAGTGAGACTGTAGTACTTTTGTCTCACAGTGTCTTTAGTTTTATTGGTCTTTTTATTTTTTATTTTTTATTTATTTTTTTTATCCTCACCCGAGGACATTTTTCCATTTTTTGTTCAGGTAGAGTGGGAGGGAGAGAGAGGAACAGAGAGAGAGAGAGAAACATCGATGTGAAAGGACACATCGAGTGGCTGCCACCCGCACAACCGACCAGGGCCGGGGACAAACTGCAACTGAGGCACGTGCCCTTAGCAGGAACCGAACCCGGGTCTCTCAGGACCGCAGGCCGACGCTCTAACCGCTGAGCCAAACCGGCCAGGGCTTATTGGTCTTTTTAAATGAATGAATTAAGTTCTTTTTCTTTTCTAGGAAAGAGTTTGTATTAAGCTTGAAATGATATGTTCTTTAAATACTTGGCAAAACTGAAAACTTATCAGGACCTCGTGTTTTATTTTGGGGAAAATTTTAACGAATTCTATTTGTTTAATGTTAAAGACATTTGACAGATAAATTTTCAGTTTTTATTTCTTCTTGAACAAGTTAAATTTTTCTAAAAATTAGCTCACTTCATCTAAGTTTTCAAATGTATGACATAAAGTTGTTGGTATTACTCTGTTATTTTCTGTTTAATTCCTATTGCCTCCTCTTTTATTTTTAATATTGTGTCTATGTCTTTCTTTTTTCCCTTGATAAATTTTGTCACTGGTTTGCCATTTTGTTAGTCCTTTTTTTTAAAATCCTCTCCCGAGAACATTTTTGCATTTATCTTCAGATAGAGCAGGAGGGAGAAAGGAAAGGAGAGAGAAAGAGAAACATCTATTTGGGAGAGACACATCGACTGGTTGCCACCCACACGACCCCAACCAGGGCCAGGGACAAACTACAACTGAGGTATGTGCCTTCAGTGGTAACTGAACCCAGGACTCTCTGGTCCACAGGTTGACGCTCTTTATTAGTCCTTTTATTTTTTTATTATTTTATTTTGTTACACATGTTTCTCCCTTTTTTCCCCATTGACACCCTCCTCCCCATCCCCGCCACCCCGTTCCCGGCTTTGTTGTCCATGTCCATCGGTTATGCATACATGCATATAAGTTCTGTGGTTTATCTCTTCCCTTCCCTCACCACCCCCTCTTTTGAGGGTTGTCAGTCTGTACCCTATTTCTACATCACTGGGTCTACCCTATTATATTCCACAAATAAGTGAGATCTCATGTGGTATTTGTCTTTTTCTGCTTGGCTTGTTTCGCTTAGGATGATACTTTCCAGGTCCCTCCATGTAGTCGCAAAAGATAAGAGATCTTTCTTTCGTATAGCTGCATAATACTCCATTGTGTATATGTACCACTGCTTTTTTATCCATTCATCCACTGATGGACACTTGGGCTGTTTCCAGATCTTAGCTATTGTAAATAGTGCTGCTAAGAACATGGGGGTACATATATTCTTTCTGATTGGTGTTTCAGGCTTCGTAGGGTATATTCCTAAAAGTGGGATCACTGAGTCAAATGGCAATTCAATTTTTAATTTTTTGAGGAAACACCATAGTGTTTTCCATAGTGGCTGCACCAGTCTGCATTCCCACCAGCAGTGTACTAGAGTCCCCTTTTCTCCACACCCTCACCAACACTTGTTGTTTGATGATTTGTTGATGGCGGCCATTCTGACAGGTGTGAGGTGATACCTCATTGTTGTTTTAATTTGCATCTCTCTGATGATTAGTGATGTTGAGCATTTCTTCATATGTCTCTTGGCCATTTGTATGTCCTGTTTGGAGAGGTATCTATTTAGCTCCTCTGCCCATTTTTTAATTGGGTTCTTTGTCTTCCTTTTGTTGAGTTGTATGAGCACTCTATATATTTTGGAAATTAACCCCTTTATCTGATATATCATTGGCAATGATGCTCTCCCATACAGTGGGTTGCCTTTCCATTTTGGTGGTTGTTTCTTTTGCTGTGCAGAAGCTTTTGAGTTTGATGTAGTCCCATGTGTTCATTTTCTCCTTTGTTTCTGTTGCCTTAAGTGATGTATCAGTGTAAATTCTGCTGCGTATGATGTCTGAAATTTTGTTGCCTATAGTTTCTTCTAGGATTTTTATGGATTCATGGGTCACATTTAAGTCTTTTAACCATTTTGAGTTTATTCTTATGTATGGTGTAAGTTGATGATCTAGTTTAATTTTTCTGCATGTAGCTGTCCAATTTTCCCAACACCATTTATTAAAGAGGCTTTCTTTACTCCACTATATGCTCTTGCCTCCTTCGTCAAATATTAATTGAGCATAATGTCTTGGGCCCATTTGCGGGTTCTCTGTTTTGTTCCACTGATCTATATGCCTGTTCTTCTGCCAGTACCAGGCTGTTTTGATTACAGTGGCTTTGTAGTATAACCTGATATCTGGTATTGTGATCCCACCTAGTTTGTCCTTCTTTTTCAAGATTGCTGTGGCTATTCAGGGTCTTTTTTGGTTCCATATGAACTTTTGAAGTATTTGTTCTAGTTCTGTGAAATATGTCGTTGGTATTTTGATGGGGATTGCATTGACTCTATAGATTGCTTTGGGTAATATGGACATTCTAATGATGTTAATTCTTCCAATCCATGAATAAGGTATGTGCTTCTACTTTTTTATATCTTCCTCTATTTCTTTTTTCAATATCCTGTAGTTTTCTGCAAATAGGTCCTTTACTTCTTTGGTTAAGTTTATTCCTAGATATCTTCATTTTTTTGCCACAATGGTAAATGGGATTGTTTTTTCAGGTTCTCTTTCTGTGAGTTCATCATTGGTGTATAAGAATGTCATCAATTTCTTGACGTTAATTTTGTATCCTGCTACTTTGCCAAATTCATTTAGTAAGTCTAGTAGATTTTTGATGGAGTCTTTAGAATTTTCTATGTATACTATCATGTCATCTGCAAATAATGACAGTTTCACTTCCTCCTTTCCAATTTGGATGCCTTTTATTTTTTCTTCATGTCTGATTGCTGTGGCTAAGACTTCTAGTACTATGTTAAATAAGAGTGGTGAAAGTGGGTATCCGTCTTGTTCCTTTTCTTCAGGGAAATGCTTTTAGTTTCTGTCCACTGAGTTTGATGTTGGCTGTAGGTCTTTAATATATGGCTTTTATTATGTTGAGATATGATCCCTCTATTCCCAGATTGCTGAGCGTTTTTATCAGAAATGGGTGCTGGATTTTGTCGAAGGCTTTTTCAGCATCCATTGATGTGATCATGTGGTTTTTATTCTTCATTTTATTTATGTGGTATATCACATTTATTGATTTGTGAATATTGTACCAGCCTTGCATCCCCACTTGGTCATAGTGAATAATTGTTTTGATGTATTGCTGGATCTGTTTTGCTAGTATTTTGTTCAGGATTTTGGCATCTATGTTCATCAGGGATATTGGCCTGTAGTTTTCTTTCTTTGTAGTGTCTTTTTCTGGTTTTGGAATTAGAATTATGCTAGCCTCATAAAACTAGTTTGGAAGTCTTTCTTCTTGAATTTTTTGAAATAGTTTGAGGAGAATGGGTGTTAGTTCTTCTTTGAATGTTCGGTATAGCTCCCCTGGGAAGCCATCTGGGCCTGGGCTTTTGTTTGCTGGGAGAGTCTTAATTACCTCTTCAATTTCCTTAGTTGTTATTGGTCTGTTCAACACAAAATCTATGGGATGCAGCTGTTCAAGTTTTCTCTCTCTTCCCTGTCCAGTTTTGGGAGACTGTGTGTTTCTAGAAATTTGTCCATTTCGATTAGATTGTTGAATTTGTTACCATATAATTGTTCATAGTAGTTGTTAACGATCTTTTGTATTTGTGTGATGTCAGTTGTTACTTCTCCTCT